CGCGCCCGGCGGCGGGCGGGCGGCGGGCGGCGCTGCGGCGCACGTGGGCGCGGGCGCGGGCGCTGGGCGGCTTCGCGCTGCAGCCGCTCTTCCTGCTGGCGCGGCGCGAGGAGCGCGCCTTCGCCGACATCCTGATGTGGGACTTCGCCGAGTCGCAACACAACCTCTCGCTCAAGGAGCGCTGCTTCCTGCGCTGGCTGCACGAGCGCTGCCCGTGCGCCGACTTCGTCTTCAAGGGTGAGCCGCGCCGGGGCCGCGGCGGCGGCGGCGGGGCGACTCGCGGGGAAGCCCGTCCGGGGCGCCGGGGACCCGGGCGGGGCGCCGCGGCGCCGTGACGCTCGGTGTGCCGCGGCCTGTTGGCCCCGATGGGGACGCGGGGCTTGACGGGGCGGCGTTGCTCTGCGGCCCCCGGGAAAGGAGCCCCGCCCGGCACCAGTGCCTCTGCCGCGGGCCGCTCTGCCCCCCCCTCCCCTCTCCTCTCCTCTCGGGCTCCTTCTCCGTCTGTCCACGTCGCGGCCCGGGGAGGGGGGCGGCCAGCACTGGGGGAGCGCTGTGCCCCGGCAGGCCCGCTGGCCCACTCGGCACGGCCGCGCACCGACCGAGCCGCTCCTCCCGCAGGGGACGACAACCTCTTCGTGAACGTGAAGGCCCTGACCGAGTACCTCAACCAGACGCCCAACGCCTCCAGCTTCATCCACGGCAACATCCAGCACCACTCCGCCGTCATGCGGCACGGCAAGTACGCCGTGTCTCACGCCGTCTACCCGATGGGCCAGTACCCCGACTTCGCCTCCGGAGGGGGGTTCATCATGCCCCAGCCGGCCCTGGCCCCGCTCTACAACGCCTCCCTGTGGCTGCCCGTCTTCCCCCTGGACGACGTCTACCTGGGCTTCCTGACGCTGGCCGCGGGGCTGGCGCACCGGCACGACGAGCGCTTCCGCGTGTGGGGCCTGAGAAGGGACGAGCTGCAGGCCTACCGGGAGGCCCTGACGGTGCACGGGGTCTCGCCGGAGCGGATGGAGCAGGTGTGGAAGGAGCTCTAGCGCCTCCTCGGAGGGCAGCCCGAGCAGCGGGGCCTGTGCTGGCCGGGGGAGCCTGGCCCCGTGTGCCTGGCCTTGCGGCCTCGTGCCGGGCCGTCCCTGGAGGGGGCCCTGTGCGGGGGCCCGCACCTGGCTTCGAGCGAAGAGCCCAGCAGCGGGGGCTCGAAGCCGCTCCCGGCCGGCGAGCCAAGCAGGAGCAGGCCCGGCCCCCACGAGGGCACGCGCCTCTTCCGAAACAGGGCCGTTTCCGCCGTTGCCCGAGCACCTGCAGAGGCTGGGCAGGCCTGCGCCTTTCGCCCTCTCTCCGTGCCGCGTGCGCAGCTGCCCTGGGCCGGATCCTCGGCGGGCCTTCCCTGCGCAGAGAGTGAGGGTGGGTGGCAGAGCAGCCCCCCGCCCCACCAGAGACATCCTGCCTGCGCCGACCGGACAGAAGAGAGCTGCGGCACGGCGCTTGCCCCGGCGAGATGTGCCGCTTGCTTGAAGCCGCGGGCGGCGCTGGGGCGGGTCGGCCAAAGCCCCGCTCCTCCGGCCGGCCCGAGGGGAAGCTGCGAGCCAGACAAGAGCCCGGCGGCACGTCCTCACTCGCCGTGTCCCCCGCGTCCGGCTGATTCCCCTCCACTTCTGCTGCTGCTTCCAGAGAGGATGTGGCCTCCCTCCGTGCTGGCGGCCGAGGCAAGGCCACTCCGCGCACGTCCGTCCGTCCTCTGCCGAGTCTCGCCCGGAAAGGTCTCCCCCGCCGCCTGCCTGTGGAACTGCGGGGAGGGCAGGCACCTTCAAAGGCCCCGCAGCCGTTTTCCCGGCCTGAGGCTTTGCAGGCATGGGAAACGCGACGTGAAAGAGGCGGCGGCTTCTGGCATTTTCATCAGCCCAGAATTCTGCTCTGGAAGGGCTGCTTGCTCAGCAAAGCTGCCTGGGCTCCGCAGAGCACGGCTTGCTGAAGGGCCGCGCGAGTCGGGCCACTGCTCCCTCGTTTTGCGGGCTGCACTGCCGCCTCCCAGCAAGGGGCTCGGGCAGCAGGAATGGGCCCCTCGCCCGGGTTCTGGTCCCTGCTCAGCCACGGAGCCGACTGGGCGACTCTGGGCCAGTCTCAGCCTCTCACAGGTCGCTGTTGTGTGGAGAAGACCGAGAGCGGCGGAGGAGGAGGACTTAAGCTGTCCTGAGTTAAGTAAAAGGTGGGATATAAATCCCATAAGGAGAGGGTCGGACTGGCGGACCCCAACCAGCCTTCCCGCTGCAGGGAAGGGCACGGACCTCGGGCACGGGAGCGTCTCTGCGGCTGAGCGGGCGCCACAGTTTTCTTGTCTTCCTTGCGTTAATGCGCATTGTGCTCCTAGTGCGCCTCAGGGTGACCCACCTCGAGCGCATCGTTTGGTGGGAAGGCAGGCTGTCAACCGATCAGTAAACTAACAATCGAGCTGTCTTCACGCAATCCCTTTTCTGGAAACTGTCTCGTCCGACTCACTTGCCCGAACCCGCAACCGGAGGGCTGTGGCCATTCCACACACGAGGCCTGCTCTGCTGGGCGCCGGCGCTGCGCCTTTCCCTGGCAGGATCAGGCCCCGAGGCTCCGCCTGCTGCCTCGGCCGGCTTTGAGGCGCTGCTGCAGGAACTGGCCCTCCCGCTTCTGCTGAGTCAGGTTCCGGAGGGGCGGCCAGGTGCCGCGAGCGAGCGCAGGGACGTGACGGGAGGTGTGCCGCCGAGGGACAGGGACGCGCTGCTCAGGCTGGCTCTGGGAACAGGCCGGGGGGACTCGGGAAGTGGGGGGGGGGGCTGCTTGCTTACTTATAAATCATACCTGTATGCTGCCCTCCTACCAAAGGGCCCCCTGAGTGGCTCACAATAAAAGCAGTAAGCACAGCAGTAAAAAAGCAGCAATTAAACGAAAACGGTAGAAAGAACAATAAAAATGACAATTAAAAGATCACAGTCCATCTGGGAATCAGAGGAAGAGTCACAAGGCCCCAGCAGTGAAGGTGAAGCGAAGTTGCAGCCGGTTCAGCCCCCAGAGCGCCTGCTGAGCCTGGGGGGTCTTCCAAGGGCTGCTCCCCTCGCAGCCCCCCCCCCACTGGGCAGCCACAGCTCGTTTCTCAGCACCCCCGAGGGGTTGGGCCACAAGCCTGCTCAAAAGGAGAGTTTTGGGAAGTAATCCCTAGGCGGGGTTCAGCAAGCCCCTTTGCACATGCTCAGAGACTTGGCTGCAAGATTAATGCATAGAAGCAGTAGCGCTTTGGGGGGAATGGCTCGAGGCCAGCGCTCGTTGAGGGGGCGTGTGGCTTGCGGACCCGGTGGGGCAGGGCGACTCATCTCGCACCGGACCCTGGAGAGCCTGGTCCTGGGTGACTCTCAGCCCGGCCTCCCCCACAGGGCTCTTGGCCAGGCGGGCAGTGCAGTGCGGGGGGCGGGGGCCACTCGAGGGGAGCCGCGCAGCTCGCCCGGCCGGCAGTGGGGCCTTGGTGGGCTGGGCAGCGCCACATGGGGCCATGGACACCCCCCCCCGGGGCCACCCTGCCTCGGCCAGCGTGGAGGCACCTGCCTGGCTGCTCCGGGGGCCCTTTGGGGGCTTTTGGACAGACCGGCGCTGCTGCCTCCACACGCTGGGGCTGCGTGCAGCGCGCCCGGCGGCCCTCAGGTGCCCCGGAGACCAGCGCCTGCTGGGCAGCAATTGCTGGCAGGGCCGCCCTGCCGCCCCCAGGCTCCTGGGGGCGGGGGCGCAACACCGATGCAGGAGTCGCAGAGGGACATGGGGCGGACAGACGCCGAGGCAGCTGTGGGGCAGCTGGGGAGGCAGAAGAGGGCTGAATGTGGCCGGGGGTATTTGTGGGGGCGCGGCAAGGCGGGGGTGCCTGTGCTCTTCCCGGGCTTGGCCGGCGGCCAGAAATCCGGGTCATTCCCTGGCCATAAAGCCCAGAAATCCGGGTCATTCCAGGGAGCCCTGGCCATAAAGCCCTTGTGACGTGCATTTGAACACGGCAACGGACGAGCTCTCGCATCCTGGTCGAGCATGGAAATGACGTGCGCAAATATGGGAACTGCAAACACAGCGCTGCCCTTTACACAATCGGCGGCGGAACACATGGCCCTTTGCAGCTGCAGGAAAATCCTTGAGCACGAAGCGTACCTTTTTTTCCCCTGGTGGCTCTTTTTGGAGAGGAAGCCGAGTGCCAAGGCAGCCTGCAAAGGTTATGCCTTATCAGTGTGATTGCGCTTCGAGCTACGCGGAAAGTCGGCAGACTTTGGAAGCGCCCTTCTCTTGCATTGATGCCGAAAGCGACGGCGTGTGGCCCGTTCGCCCAGACACATTCCCAAACCTGGCACTTTCTCGCCACTGACTTTTCGTGCGGTAGTTTGCAAGTGGTGTCAGCGGTCAGGGCCCTCCACGCGGCCACAGTGGAGGCCCAAGGTGGGTGCAGGTGCCCCTTTCCACGCTGCACTTCCGGCTGCACTCTGCAGCAGTGTGCTTTGCGGGGGCGTGGGAGCCGGGGGCACGTCCGCCAGGGAAGCGGGTGCTCAAGGACAGGCTGGACGTCCACATGGTGGGCATGTCGGGAGCAGAGCCGGCTGGAGCCGGGGGTCAGACTAGATGGCCCAGGAGGCCCCTTCTGACTCGCGCTGTTTCTTTTTGTTACTGATCCGGGACATTTTTGCCAAGGGCTCCTGCAGTGCCTCAGGGCTACAAAAGCAGTCGATCAGAGTCGGGCACTCAATGCATCCGTTCTTATTTTTAATAACCAACCAGCTTATCTGCCCCGCATGGCACAATCCAATTAATATTTAACAATAACAGCAACTGTTGTGGTTGTGAATTCTGCCTCTGGAATTCTGATAACCGAATTCTCAGAAACATGTTTTAAAGTTGTGGAACCCCATCCAAGAGAAATGGTGCCAGTTAGCCAAATGCCCACCCGCTTGCCACAGCCAGAGGGCTTTCCGCCCGTTGCCGGAGCCTCCTGAGCCCTTCCAGGCAGGGGGCTCGCGATCCCAGCTGTGGGGGTCCCTGCGCAGCTGCGCCCGTGGTGGGTGCATTCCCGGTGGGAGGCGTTCAGTGTGGCGGTCCCAGAGCTGCCCGAGCGACACTCCCAGCGTGACGACCGGGCTGCCACGGACCTGGTGGGGCCAGAGCGCGAGGCCCTCGGAGGGGGCGGCCTGCGAGCAGGTGTGGGGCGCAGGCGGGCTCACCTCGGCCCCCCGCCCTGGGGAGGCCGCTCCCACCAACAGGCTCCGTGGGGCCCCCTGGTGGCCAAGGCTCCAGCACACGGACGCCTGCGTCCCTCCAGGACCCGGGCAGGCGGCTTCGCGGCAGCTCCGCTCCCCCCGTGGCTGCGGCTGGTCAGGCGGGGCGAAGCATCCGGGGGCCGCGGGTGAGAGGAGCCCCCCGGGTGCGCGTCCCGCAGGGCAGCACGGCAGCAGCGGGGCCCCAGCAGGCTGCAGGCCGAGAGGATGCTCGGCGAGCCCAGCAAGAACCTGTCTCCAGGGAAGGGGCAGGGCTGGACCGCGTCCCCCTCAGCTTCGAGGGGCTGGGGGGCCGCTCGCCGCCCGGCCCTTGGACGGCCCCTCAGGACGGGGCTCCGGCCATCCTCAACCGCTGCCTCGAGGGAGGGGCGCCTGTCCTGCCACTTTCAGGTGGTGCCTCCAGCTGAAGGGCTCCCGGAAGCCGCTCACTCCCCCGCAGAGCCCTCCCCTGCTTGGCCCCTGCAGGTTTCCCGGAGTGCGCTTCCAGCTGCCTCGCTGCTGCGGATGATGGGAACTCAGCAGGGCTTCCCCCCCTCTGCTCCAGCAGGACCAGCCTCGGCTGCGGGGCCCACAGAGGCCCTGGTCCCACGCCCACGCGAGCAGAGGAGAGACGCGATGGCATCCTGGGGGGGCAGCTCCGTACCCCCCCAGCCTCCCCGCCTGCGGCCGAGCCAGCCGTGCCCAGGAAGGCGGGCGCGGGGAGTGGCCCCTTGCCCAACCCTCCTCCTCGTGGGGTGCAGGGGCAGCTGGCTGCTGGGGGCCACCGCGCGGGGCCCTGGGCCTTCTTGTGTGGTGCAGCCAAGAAAGAAGCCTGGGCCGGCAGAGGGGGGCCTGGGCCCCCCCGGAGCATCAGCTCCCATGGGCGAGCAGAGCAAGGCCAGAGGATGGTGCCAGGCCTCGGGCCCCCCGCCCTTGGGGTACCGCCCCCCCACCCCCGGAGACCGTCCGGAGCAGCACCCTCCACCCCCGGCCTTCCCCGTGGGAGCAGCGTGTGGGGCCCCAGGGGGCTGGACTCCCCACCGGCAAACGGGACGGTGCAGACTCGCAGCCCTCGTGTGGGGCCAGGGTCGAGGGGAAGGGGGGGGGCAGGGGGGGCGGGGGGGGGGGCATCAAGAAGCCAGCTCAGAAGCGGGGCCCCTGGAGGTGGAAGAGCAGCAGGCCGCAACACGGGGCTTAAGTGGAAGTTTATTGAAATCCAGTTGCAACTAACGTAAAACAGACACGAGAGACCAGGACTCGGCATCGGGCAGCGGAGAGGGAGCGGGCTAACACGTGGGGGGGTGGGGGGGGGGGGGGCAGGCTGGGCGCTCTGGTGGCGCTTTAAAAAAATGCTGGAAGAGCGAAAATCCACCGCGGCAGAACAGCTTTGCTCAAAAAAAGTCAGCTTCTTCGGGGGCATCAAGGTCTCTGTACTCGACGATGGCACGAGGGTCGCCGCGGACCATCCTGGGGAGAGAGGACGGGGGCTTGGGATTGCAGGCAGGCAGGCGGGGGGCCGGGCCGCCCTCACCCTTTGCGCTCCCTCGCCGGCCCTCCTCCAGCCAGACACACACACGCACCTGTTCCGGGGTTTGTTGAGATAGGCCCCCTGTCCCCGGAAGTTGTCGTAGTTCCCTCTCCCGGCTGCGTAGGGGGCGGGCGGGTACGGAGGGCCGCCTGCGAGAGACCAGGGGGAGAAAGGCGTGAACGCCTTCCCTGCGGTGCGGGCCCAGGGCGCCCACCCACGTCCGCGTGGGTGAGCCAGAGCCGCCCGCAAGGCGATGGGGAGGGCTGGGGAGGGCGGGAGGCCGAGGCCCACGCTCCCCCCTACTTGCCTCCGTAGCCCAGGATGGGCGGGCGGGGCTGTCCGTAGGGCATCAGTCCCTGGGGGGCCTGAGGGGGGTACGGCAACCCTGGCGCCAGGCCTGCAAAGGGAAGAGAGAGACCGGGGGGGGGGCGCTTCAGCGGGAACCCGGGACGGCCCCGCTCACCAGGCGCCCTGCCCAGCCCGGCGGGGGCCTCTCCGGACCCCCGCGGGGGCTGCAGCACCGCCGGGAGCCAGCGGGGCAGGCCTGCGGGGGCCAGGCCGGGAGCACCCCCCCGCCCCGCAGCCCCCGCTCACCCTGTCCGGGCACCGGCGGCTGGTTGAGCTTGAGCTCCGGCAGGGCCGGCCGCTTGGCGTCCATGAGGAAGTTGTTGAAGAAGGCCACCTCCTTCTTCACCTCCTCGATCTTCTCCGCGTGCTTGTTGAAGATGTGCTTGCGCACGAACTCCGGCCCCTGGGCGCAGAGCGGAGCGGGTCAGGGGCCGCCCCCTGCGCGGTGCCCGCCCCCCCGCCCGCCCCGGGGGCTGCGGCCCCGGCAGGAGGCGCCCCGCACCTTGAACTTCTTCCCGCTGAGGGGGCACAGCCACTTGTCCTTGCCCAGCTCCTGCGTGTTGGCCGTGACGAACTTCTCCACCTCCTGCTCCGGGTCCTTCTTGCCCATCTTCTGGGCCTCCTCCTCAGAGAGGGTCTCGCGGACGCTGAACAGGGGGGTCAGCTTGTCCTCGAACGTCTTCTGCCACTCGGCCACTGCGGGGGGCGGGCAGGTGAGCCGAGGCGCACGGAGGGGACACCCCGCCCTGTTCCAGGGCCCCTCCGCTCATGAAGCGGCACTTGGGGGGCGGGGGCAGCACCAGGGCGCCGCGCGGGGCGGGAGGAGCGATGTGCGGGCTGCAGCCGGCGCCCCGTGCCCGCTCCTCCTCCCCCCGGCGGGGGGCCGCACCTTCCCGGTGGGTGACGCGGTTGGGGGGGATGGGCCCCCGCACGTGGATGATCCCGCAGCGGTTGGGCATCTCGTCCTCGTTCAGGTACTCCGAGGTGTTGTAATAATCCACCGAGTGGACGATGCGCAGGTACAGGAGCAGCTTGTCCAGCACCTGCCGGGAGCGGGAAGCGGGGGGTCAGTCCGGGGGCCGGCCGGGCTCACGGAGGCCCGGCTCGTGCCCCCCTGCCCGGCGGGCTCCCGGCGGGCTCCCGACGAAGGCCAGCCCCCCGGCCCCCAGCACCGCCCTCCGGCGGCCCTCACCTTGACAAGCTTCTCGTCCCTCTCGACGGTGATTTCCGCGGGGTTCCCCTCCTTGGGGGGCTCTTCGGAGGGCTCCCCGCTCTTGCCCAGCAGCTCCTCCTCCTCCGCACTCACCTCTTCGATCAGGTAGTCGGTGATGTTCTTCAGGATGGGATTCTGGGAGGGCAAGCTCTGGGGGAGCGCGAGCGCCACGGGGGCTGCGTCAGCCGGGCTGCCGGAGCAGCCGCTTCCCCGAGCCAAACGGGGCTCAGCCTCTCCCGACGTGCGGGACTACGACCCTCAGGATCCCCAGGCAGCCGCATGCTGGGAGCGGCAGCCGGCACACGGCGAGGTGGGCGCACGCACTTCCTCTCGAGGAGCCCGCAGCGCCACCCACGGTCGGCACGAACCTGCCCCCTCCCGTCCCCTTGGGGACCGGGAACGCCCGGCAGGCGACGCGCCCGGCGAACGGCCCCCCGGGGGCCCCCCACTCACGGAGACTTCGGAGGCGGGCGGGGCCTCGCCGCCCCCCCAGAGCTGGGTCCGGTCGTCCATCGCGTGAATCAGCTTGGCGGCCAGCTTGATGTCGTTGCGCAGGATCTGCTTGTGCTGCGTGATGCCGTTGACGTTGCGCACCCGCCGGGTCAGGTCGCGGTTCACGCCGGGGCTCAGCTCGCAGTCCCGCAGCTGCGAGGGGGACGGGCCGTCAGAGCTGCCCCTCTCCCCCGCGAGGGCCCCAGACCCGGCCCCGGCCCCGGCCCGCCCGGGGGACTGGGGCAGGGGGCGGCCCGGCCCGCTTACCCGGATGTTCTGCAGGTTCCAGCAAATCTCCTTGATGTTGACGCTGCGATCGAACGTGACCCAGCCTCTGCGGAAGAACCTGAGCAGGCAAGGGGGCGTCAGTGAGCCCCCCGCACAGCCCCCCCGCCAGGCTGCTCCGGGGGGCCGCGCAGCGCCCGTTTCGCTTCAAGGGGGCTCCAGCAGGAGCCTTGCGGGCACAGCCTGCACGCAAACGGCTTTGTCTCTGGACTGCCAGAAAAACAGGAAGAACGGGCCACGGTCCCGAGGTCTGGCGAGCCGGGGCCGGGGCCGGGGCCGGCGGTGAGGGGCTCTGCCCCGCGGATCGGGGGCACCTTCCCACGTGCTCCCGCGAGGACGGTTCTGCGGTCGGGGTGCTGCAAACGGCCGCAGAGCTTGTCCAAGGGAAGAGTGCTCCGGAAGGGGCACGGGCAGCACCTCGCTGCAGGTTCCTTGGCCAAGAGGCAGGGTTGCCCGGCTCCGAAATGCGGCTGCCGCGTCTTTGCACCCGTGAGCCGCCCACGACGGGGAACCGTCGCTCCGGCACTGGCGGCCAAAGAGGACGCATGGGGCGGAGGGGGGAACGGGGCCGTGAACTCCGAGGTACCTCCTTTCCGGCTGGGGATCCGACAGCGCCACTCTCATGAACCCGGGGTACTGCTTGCAGAGCTGCGGAGGCAAGAAGGGGCGTTGGGGCTGGCCGGGGGGCTGCAGAGGGGAGCCAGCTGCCCGGCCCCAAAGGGCCCTTGCACACGCTCAGCAAGCCGCCCTGCTTGGCGGGCCAGGGCGTTGCGGCCAGCCGCCGAGGTGCCGGGGGAAGCAGGGCGCCCCGGGGAAAGGCTCGCCTGCGCGCAGGAGCCTCGGCACTCCGGAGATCCTCCCCGGGGCGCCTGGCCTGCCCTGCCCACGGCTGCCCTGCCCACGGCTGCCCTGCCCGGCACTTCCGGGCTGCACGGCGCCAGGCGCGGCGCAGGGCTGTGGAGGTCCCGACTCACCCCCACGATTTCTGCCTGGGAGATGTTGGGGGCGATGTTGCGCACAAAGAGCGAGCAGGTCTTGTGGAGGGGACGGGGCTTCGGCTCCCCCTCTTTCTCCTTGGCTTTGGGTGACTCCTCGCCCTCCTTAGCTGCCGCCGCCGACTTCTCCTCCTTGGGCTTTTTGTCTGCAGAGCCGGACAGAGCGAGCAAGAGCCCTGAGCGGGGCTTTCCGCACGGGGACCCTCACCCGGCTCAGGCCTGGACCAGGATGGGGCCCACGCACCTTCCTTGTCGTCCTCCTCGCGGCGCCCGCTCTCGGATTCTGAGTCGGACTCCGAGACGCTGCCTTCGTCATAGCTGTCGTCCCCGCTGCGCTTCCGCTTGCGCTTGTGGCTGCCCTGTGGACAGGTGGGGCCCCGCCATCAGCCCACTGCGCCGCCGGTGCCGCGGCGTCCTGCCCGTCCGCCGCGGGAGGGCTTCCCCAGCCCAGAGCCGCAGGTGCTCCCCCACTGGGACCCCCGTGGCTCACGGCCGGCTGCTTCAACGAGCACTGCGGCTGCAGCAGGTGCCCGCCTCCCCCCTCAGCACCCGGCCCCCCGAGGAGGAAAGGGCAGCGGCACCCCCCGCCCCGCCCCAGGCCCGCCAGGGGAGCGACCTGGGCGAGGCCATCCCAGCCTGGCATACTTTGGCCCTCTCTGTGGGGAAGCTGCGCCCCCCGCCTCCCGCCCGAAGGGCAACCCAGCTGCAGGCAGCCGAGTGCCCCGGGGCACACCTTTTTCGTGTCCTTGTCCACCTCTTCTTTCTTCTCTGCCCTTTTCTCGTCATCTTCCGAGGCCTTCTTGGCTTTGTCCTCGGCGGCCTCCTCGTCGCTCGTCTGGAGCAGGCAGGACGCCCGTCAGAGGACAGAAGGGGCCGTGCGGCACGACGGCCGGCCTCCTGCTGGGCCCCCCGCGCCACGTGGGGCGGCGGCGAGAGGAGCTGCCCAGGGAGGCCCCCCGGCCCCACGCGCCCCGGCCCCTTCCCCGCCCGTCACCTTCTTGGCCTCCTCCTTCTTGTCGTCCTTCTCCGAGGCGCCCTTGCGGTCCAGCTCCGAGAGCCTGCTCTCCTCCTTCTTGCCCGGCTCGGCCCGGTCCTGGCGCTCCTCCTCCTCCTCCTGGTCCAGGATCTTCAGGTCATTCTCGGTCCCGCCTTCCATCTTGATGACGGCTGCAAGGGCAGGAGACGCCGTCCCAGTGCACCGCCAGGCGCCGTGCTCCGAGGAGGGCCCAGTGCTCCCCGCGTGTGCCGCCAGGGGGCCGGGCCCCCTCCACCCGAGGCCTCCAAAGCAGGGGGCCGCCCCGCTGCCGGGCCCCGCAGCCCCCCGGCCTACCGGCGTCCAGGACTTTGATGATGGCGCTGGCCTTGTCAATGTCGAGCTGCAGTGTGTCCAGCCAGCCGCTGTCCATGAGGTACAGGAAGACGTTGAGGCGATTCTGCAGGGCGTTCCGGGACTCCTGCTTCCTCCTGCCGGCCTCGTCCGGGTGGTATTTGGACCAGAACCTGAATGGGGTCCACATTAGCAGGGGGTAGGAGGGGAGGAAGAAACACACAGAAAAGGAAGAGGAGGGGGAGATGCGTCAGTCAACAGGGAACCGGGCACAATGCCCCTCGGCCACACTGCGCGCATGCAAAGCAAGGGTGGCTGGGAGAGGCCAACCGCCTGCCTCCTGCGGAGAGGAGAGGAGAGGAGGGGCTGCGCGAGGACCTTCTGGCAGGAGGAACGGAGCCCTGGCAGGCGGGCGGGCGGGCGGCTCTGGGGGCCGTCGATGCCCTGGCGACCGGCCGGCAGGCAGGCAGCCTGGCCTCTGCTCCTGGGGCTGCCCGAAGCCCCTCCCAAGAAGGGACCCCTCAGTGCTGCCGCCTGCCGGCTGAGCCCGCCCGGACATGGGGCTCAGCGGCGTGCATCCGTGGGAGTGCTCGTGCGGCGGGGCACTGGGAGCCCCTTCGGCCGGGCGCGTGGGGTGGGGGCACGGATGCAGCCGCGGCGGGACAGACCTGGGCGGCGGCAGGCCCTCCCTCTCGGCCCTCCTGCCTCTCGGCGAGAGGCCCCGTCCTCGGGCCCTCGCTCCGGCGGGCTCCCGCCTCTCCCCGCAGCCGTGCCACGCTTCTAGCCCTCGCCTCCGTGGCTCTCTGGTCCTCTCCCAGCCCTGCCTCTTCACCGTCGCTCTGCCCTCTCCACAGGCCTTCCGCTCGGCACCACTCCAGCCGCGCTGCCCCGGAAGCGCCCCGTGGAGAGCTCCTGGCCCCCGCCACCATCCATGCCCTCGCCCTCTGCCCGGGGCCTCTCCTGCCTGGCCCGGCCCGGCCGTGCTGCCAGCGGGCCGGGACCGACCCTCCGGGGGGGCGGCCTAAAGACTGCCGGGCTGGATGAAGGCGGCGCCCGCCCGAAGGAGCCGCTGGCAGGGCAGAGCGCCTTCCTGGGGCCCTGGGGGTGCGGCAGAGCCAAACTCTGCCGGGTGCTCGGAAGAAGGTCCTTCCCGGGACTGCCCCCCCTTCAGTGCGGGTGTCCCCAGGCACACGGGACGCGCTCAGCGGGGCCGGGAGCGGCAGCTTGGTGGGAGAGGCCGTGAAAAGGAAAGGGGTGGATGTCAAGGCAACCAGATCCAGAGCACGCCTTCCACGCAGCACCTTGCAAATACGGGGGAGACGTTAGATTGGTCTCGCTCGGCGCCGAGTTAAGAAGACAGAACACGTCATACATACACTGAGAGTCACACTCCGAGCCTTCCAAGCGAAGAGTTTTCTTCAGCGGATTTTAAGAAAAAACGTACACGGGCTGGCCAAGTGTGGCCTCTCTCTCTGGTGCTGGGCCGCAGGACTTGGAAAAGGAGGCGCGGCGCCTGCGAGTCCCTGCGCTGCCTACATCCTGCCGACTCACATCAGCTAGTCACTGCATTGTGCACAGTGAGGGCCCTGACTGACTGCGCTACGGAGGAAAAAGCGTCACCGCCAGCAGAGAGAGGAGGAAAAGGTATTCAAGGCTCTTTGGTGTGTTTGGTTTATTTATGGATTCTCCAGGTTGAGGACAGATGATTTTTGGAGTCTCCTGTGAGAGGTTCTTGGGAGGAGGGGAGAAAAGGCCATGTTATTACAGTTAACATCCAGAACAAAACCAAAACCAAAATAAAGGAACTCGAAATGGTTAAAAAGGTAGAGAAACGGCTGCGTGAGACACCCGGCGGCCGAAGGGAGGTGTGCGCCCTCTGCCCGTCCTCCGGGGCCAGAAGACCCTGGCCCTGGCCCGGGACACAGGACCGCCCGCCTCCCTGCAGGCAGGACCCCGCTCTGCAGAGCCCCCTGCCCTTCCCCGCCTGCTTCCCCCTCCGGGCCAGAACGCCGCTCCCTTCTGAGCCTCCGCCGGTGGCCCGGGCGGAATCTCCAGTGGGGCGTGTAACCCGATGCACCTGCCCCAGGACTGAATACTATTCCGTGTTCGCAGGCACTGGAAGGCAGTTTGTGAGGCGGGGTGGAGGGGGCCTCGGAGGTCTTCGGGAACTTTAATCAATCGTTTTCCAGCCACTGGTGCCCCACACGGGGTCTCCTCCCTGAGCCCGGGCCCTGGAAAGTTCAGGCGGCAGCTGCTACGCACCTGGGGTGCTCGACACCTGCTCTCACCCCCCTTAAAGGAGAGGACGCTGCGCCCGGGTTACTGCCACGGGAACACATTTGCCCTGGACTGGCACTTGGAGATAATCTGGCGTACCCCACTGTGCCCCAATACACAGCCGCTTGAGTAGACGGAAAGGGGCCACTGGCTCAGCCGGGCGAGCCAGTCCTGGCCTGATCCACACGGGAGCTGAGTTTCCGGAGCCCCGGCATCGAAGGGAAGGGATTCTGGGGGCCGTGAATGCAGCTCCCCCCGCCGGACCAGGGCTGGCAAGCCCCATCGCTAACTCTCCAGGCGCTGATTGCCCTCCCAGCCTGTCTGTGCCAAAAAACAAACCCAGTTTCTTCCAGCCAAAGCGGGGAGTCTGGTCCCAGGAAGCCGGTGGTGCAAAACCCCGGCTGGTTCTCCCCGCATGCGCCCCAGTGCTGGCCGGCAGCTACTTCAGCTAGACCCCATCTGGGGAATGATTTCTGTCTACCGCCGACAGGCAGAAAGGTGTTCTAGAAAACTCCACCCACGTCCTCTGTAAAAGCAGCGCTTTCCCGCAGCACCTTAAAATGCCAGTGCAAAAAGGGCTCTGAAGTGACCCACCGTCTGTTCTGCGAAACGGGCCTGGGAGCAAGAGGGAGGGATGCTGCGGGGAAGGGGCCCCGTGACGGAGGGGAGAGGAGAAGCCGTCGAGCCCCCTCCCCACCTGCCTCTCCCTCCTCCGTTCCCACCATCTGCCCCACAAGCAGTGCTGGGCCGTGTGTGGGGCTCGGGGGCAGCCGCGGTTTCAGACAAACAATGCTGGCTCTGTGGTCTGAATTCGGAAGGCCAGCCCGGCCCTGCTCACACCGCTGCTCCTCGATACAGCGCTCAGATGTATATAAAACGCAGCTTTTGATGCCTGACTCTTGATTACATTTTTCGGGGCTCGCTTTTATATCGCTGTTTTCTTTCAACAGGCTTCACTTTACGTTAGCGACTCTCGGATGCTGCTTTCAGGTCCCTGCCCAAACGGTGGCCTGTGCAGCTCAGAACTACAAAACGTTTGTGACTGCAGAGTCTCGCTCCAGGAGAAGGGGGCCCAAGCTGTGATCCAGCCACGGCGAGGGAGAAGCCGGGCGACGGCGGGAATTGGGGTGCCCACAGGGCTCCTCCTGCCGGCACGAGAGGGGGCAAGTGGGAGAGGCCGCACCGTCCGACTCGGGGTGAAGCGCACCTCCTGCCAGCCATGACCCACAGCCAGGGGGGCGGGGGGGGGGGGGCACGGCAGGCCCAGGCCCTCCAAGGTGGGAGGCAGGACACTGACCGGTGAGGCACAGAACCGGCCAAGGCTCGATATACAGCAAAGGTGACTTGCAAACCGCGAAGATGAGAAGTTTTGAAATAAAACTGTCCCCTGGAAGGGGGCTGGCAGAAGCGGGCTTGTCAAGGCCGCCTTCCCCCGCTCGGGGCCACTTCCCATCTTCCGGGGCTCATCATGCCCCACCTTGGGCTTCGGCCTTCTGCGCGCTCCCCGCTCTGAGGACAGGCACTTAACCTGAAGCCGCCCCTGCTCCACGACCCGCCTCAGCCATCCGGGTCACAACTCCCATGGGGCTGGGGGCTTACAGGGGTTGCAGTGGGAGGCACCGAGTGTTCAAGGACAGGCTGGACATGCGCATGGGAGGCACGTCCCGAGCAGAGCCGGCTGGAGCCGGGGTCAGACTAGATGGCCCGGGAGGCCCCTTCTGACTCGCGCTGTTTCTCTTGCTTCTAAGTGGGGGAAGGCCGATCTTATCACTGGCCCTTTGGTGGCCCGGGACCCCAAGCCTGGGAGTTCCTTTGGCTTTGTCACGGAAACCCCAGAGGGCAAGAACCGGCACCCACACCCAAAGGTCCTGCAAACCACCGGGCAAGCAGAGGGGCCTCCCGCCTGCGTCTGGGGCAGCCCCCCACGCAGGCGCTCGCGGAGGCGCATTCTGGCTTCGCGCATGCCGAGCGGCCAGCGCCACAGATCCCACGGGGTGCAAAAGAGTGCGTGCAGAAAGCCTTCTCGCTGCGCGGAAACCAGCTGAGGGCGCTCTGCTCCCCCCGCCTGCGCTCCGCCTCCGCTCAACCACCGTCCCCAGACAACCCCAGGCCGCACGCTGCCCGCCCCACCGTGGAGGGGCAGCCCTCCCCAACCGCAGCGCCTGAGCTCAGGGCCCGGCACGGCCCCCGGGAGACGTACCACTCTTCGCCCTTGTGGGCCAGGAAGAAGTCCTGCATCTGCTGGCGCCGGAAGTCCAGCTTGTAATCGTTGTAGCGCTTCACAGCCTCCGTCTCATCGACTGAATCGTCCAGGGAAAGGAGGAACTCCTTGAAGCTCTTCATCACCGGGGGCGCGATGCCCAGGTCCACCTCTGCAATGTTCCCCAGCCTGGAGAAAGACGGGGCTGCTGGTGACGCGCGCCTTGCGGGCCCCCGCTCCGCGGCAAGCCGAGCGCTGCGCTTCCCCTCCTCCACATGCCATTCCACACGCTTGTGCCCCGCTCGCCATGCCCAAGGGGCCTCGGAGTGGCCGGCTGACGGCGGGCGCAGCACCGTGCAGGCCGCGACAGCACACAGGCTTGCGAGGCCCAGCAGGCCGCAGCCAGGCAGGTGTGGCCCTAAGAGCAGAAGCTAAAAAGGCGCCGGGCGGCACTGTGGGCGGGGGAATCTGGCGAACAACCGGGCAATCGGACTATTTCTGAGGAGACTGCTCTCCCCCCTTCCAGCAAAAGTTCCGCGTGGAGAACATCAAGGGGATACAACTGGTGCAAGCACCAGTACAGCGAGCCGTTGTTCGAAGCGAGAAAACACCCAGACCGCCACGGCAACCTAGAGGCCCCAAGAGGAAATATGACGAGAGCCACGTGCGGCAACATGTTGAGCGTTTAGTGAAACGCGAGCACATTTCTGTGGGGAGGCCATTCCTGAGTGGCGGTGCGGCCACAAAGAAGGCCCTGCCTCGCACGCTCAGCCTCCCAAGAGGGCAGCGAGAGACGCCACCGAGTCCTGGGGAAGCGCCATGGCCAGAGCAGCCTCGGCCGCGGAACTGCTCTCTGTCAGTGGGGGCGGCCCCATGCAGAAGGGCCAAGGGGCCGCCCGGAGGCTACCAGTGGCCTAGACTAAGAGGACCGTGGCCTCATCCAGGGCACTTTCCTGCGGATGGAGGATCCTCCCCTGGGCAGCCCCCGGGACTGGACAACAGGCCAGCGCGGGGAGCAGAGCTGAGCCTCTTCTGCACACGGGGGCCCTCAGCCAGCAGCTTCAAGCAGATGCCACAAGCACCGGGAGTGGGATGGAGCCGCCCGGTGCTGCAGAGGCCCACGGGCAAGAGAGCAGTCCTCAAAGACTCCTTCCAGGAAGGCCAGCTCCGCAGATCTCGCCCACACTCAGCCCAAGCGGGCCTGGAGAACATGGCAGGCGACGGCATCGGGGCAGCTGGGAGACCAAGAGGGTGCGTGGGGGGGTGCGCTCAGGCACCGCCCCACTCCAGCCCCAAGGAGAGCAGGCGGCTTCTCCTCCAGCTTGAGCCCCAAGGCAGGCAGGCTGGAACGGAGCCACGGACCCGCTTCCTTCGGACGCAGCCTCCGGGAGAGCAGGTCTGTTCACACGTTTGGCACCAGGACTGGCCGGACTGGCAGGCGGGGTGCGGGGGGGGGGGGCTTTGTCAGTCCTGGGCCTCGTCCGTAGGATCCTCCTGCCTCGAAAAGACACGATTCCTATTCTTCTAGGCAGGCGCAAAGATGCCTGTACCCCACGAGCTTCCCCCTAACGAGGGTGGACGAACGGCTCTTCTGCTGCTCCAACACTGGCGCAGGGAACGGCTGAAGGCCTACGACGGGATGGCTGGCCTGCAACTGGGCCGAGGGGCAGAGCAGCTGGGGGAAGACTGCCCCCCACACCTCAGAGAGCAACACAGAGACTGCTCTGGTTCTGCAGCCGGCGGCTCCCGGCAGGCCACACTGGAGCGCGACCCACATTCCCCGCTCGTTGGCTGGAGGCCAGGGCGCCAGGTGGGGCACAAGCAATCCGCTTACCTGGCCTGGATGGGCAAGATGTGGTGCTGCGTCACGTGCATTTCGGGGTGAGCCCAAGGCTGGGGGGGGTCCGTATGATGGGCCAGTGGAGACCCCGCTATAGGGCATGTCATAGCCAGAGTGGTAGGGGTCAGCTGTGTGCTCATCCCTGCAGAGGTGGGGGGAATGACATTTTCAAGGGGGCTGGGAGAAAACGTGGGCCCTGGGTGTGTGGGGAGCCTCCTTCAGGCCAGATGTCACCCTTCCGTAAAAGCCATCAAGAATCTGCCCCTTGGTGCTGCAGGGAAACTCAGTTCCACTCAGAAAAAGCAACATGACTGGCTGCCGATCGAGGCCGCCCCAAGCAGCAGCTGCAGAAACGGGCCGTGTGGGTCCACCCCTCCTGCGCTCACCCCACAAGCGGCCTCGATGTCTGGAGGGAGGATTCATGCACCTGAGCACAGCGGGGGCGGGGGGGGGCTGCTCTTCCCATCACGCTCTCCTTGCAGGTGTGCCAGGGCCAGGGACATGCAGGGATAAAACCAGCCTTCCCCAACCAGGCACTTTGGACCGCAATTCCCATCATCCCCGGGCAGCACAGCCCACTGGCCTGGACCAGTGGCTGCATCACTGCAATTCTGGAACCAGAAACCTAAGACGCCCCCAGCCCAGGAGGAGGAGGAAAGAGGTAACGCCAAGACAGCGAGCAGCTGCCTTACCAGTCACGCCGCATCCGCTTCTGCGGAGGGCTCAGCTCGTGGCGGGGCGGGGAGAACCTCTCTCTCCGGTTGCGGTCGTAATCACGGTATTCCCCGCGGCTCCGGCGCTCTCGGCCTCGGTCCCACTCCCTGCGCGCCAAGAAGCAAACAGCTGGTAAGAAGCGCACGTCGCAGTCCCCGCTCGGCCACAGGCGAGTCAGACGTGCCGCAAGCGAACCCTCGGGTCCTAGTTCGGGCCGGCAGCCCGAGGTCACGGAGCGAGTGTTCTGTGACGAACAGGCCTCCGCTGGCCTCGTGCCCCACCAGCTGGGCGGCCAGCTGATCTGCCCTGCAGATGTGGGCATACCTGTCGCTCCAGTCGTCTCTGCGCCTATCGTCACGTTCTCGGGAGCGGTCGTAGTCGCTCCTCTCGCGTCGAAATTTGTCTCTGCGCCGGCGGTCATACTCATCGTCACTGTCGCCCATCGTGGGGGGAAATTACTGCCTGCAGAAACAGGGACCAGCGGTTAACAGCAGGGCTCCAGCAGGCCGACAAGGGAAGGCAGGTTCCCACACGTCACACACAACAGAACTGAGGAAGAGCAGAGGGGGAGCGTCAGAAGAAAAGCGCCCCCCCCCCGCACCACTAAGATGCAGCCACCTGCTGCTTGACAACAAGCCGGAGATGACAACGGATGCACCCTGCTAGTCAGTCCTGGGTGCCAGCAGCAGAGTATCTCCACATCAGCAACTCTGACGCTTTCCTGAAACACAACTTCTACACTTCACACTGATGCCACGTTGCTACACTCAGCAACCCCTGCCCACGACAGCTGGATACCGGAATGCATCTACGTGGAAGGAGAACTTATCCCAAAAGAATGCTCTTCCCTATGATGTTCAAGGGGGAAGCTACACAAATTCTAAAAGGAATTTTCTACAGGAGGAAGTTGTAACTACTTCTGAGTATCTTCTCTACCACAGCAAGAAGCAAAGTTTGGCAGCAGCGCCAATGGACTGCAGACAGACTAACAGATGTTTGGGCAAATGGGCCATCCAGACCACTGGCCCTGCAGCTCGCACCGGTGTGCAGCACTCTGAAACCACTCGCTGGCTGGGTTCGCAGCACACAGCAAGTCAGAGTGGCCCTTCATATTGCCTGAACCCAACAACAGGGCTTGTCACCAACTCTGGCTGGCTCCAAGCCACGGAACAGCTCCTCCCCCCGGCTCTGACCCTCCACAGGGTGAGCCTCCCTGCTCTAGCTCCACTTCGTGCTTGTGTTTCTCCCTTGAAGCGTGCTAGAGCAGCAGTTCCCAAGCTGCTCTGATCATGGAACCTTTCTGAAGACATTCCTTTTTCCGTGGATCCCTCACGCTATCCCTGCTTTATCCTAAGTATTGACAGCCCACAGCGTTTTTCCTTTTCCATCTGCTCCTGCTGCCTGAAAGCTTTGCACAATTTGGAAGGTTTGGAGATAAAGAGTCAACATTTTAAATATAACAAACGATTAAAGCAATCCTATGGTAACATCCCAAATGAATTATTTTGATTATTCCCTACACAACAGAATCCTAGGAACCAAATGCTATGACACGTCTCCTGGTGTGCTGCTTGGACGCCAAGTTGGCCTCATGTGGTTTCATGTTAAAATCCTTTTTAAATTGGATTCTTGAGATTTTTCTCGGAACCCCTATGGGTTCCAGGGAACACAGTTTGGGAACCACTATGTCAGAGTGCAAAAGCCTTAGGGCAGCGTCTTCTACCGGAATTCAAACCGATGGTGCTGTACAGACAAGTAATTAGGCATGAACTCGGTTAAGATACAATCCAGTGCATGTTAGATTCTTGGAAAACATCATCATATCCAATAACGGAACAGATTAAGAACAGACGCAGATGCAGTCTTGCTTTTGTGCCCATACATTAAAGCAAGCAGGGTGCTGGGGATGAAGGACACGGTCTTCCCTTCCTAGTAGTGGCTCCCCAATTCCAGGAAACTGCTGCTCCCCAGAGCCCTTAATTACCAGCATTCAGGCGGGTTCCTCTTGGCCTATAACTGCCTTAAGGCTTTGCTCCGCACCACAACATACACCAGGTTGTTCAGCTTTATTTTTAGGATCAGCCGAGGGCCGGATGATCTCCCTAGAAGCGTGGGCGAGCACTCGCCCCACGAGATATTCACGCTCCCGGTCATTCTCCTCCAACGGATCGATACCAGTGACCGGGGCTTGGCTCTCCCCCATTGACTCCGGTCCCCGCAACCCGGGCCCGCCCGCTCCGGCCCGTGCAGAAACTTGCACGAGACCAACCAGGAAGCCAGGCAAGGCGGAGGAGGCCCCGCGGCCCCTGCACGGCGCGCTCGGCCGGGGCGGCCCCGCGACGCCGCGGGACTCGCCGACC